AGCATATACTGAATACTATTTTGCCCTATGCTTAATTTTAAATTTAAAGACTCAACCCAATTCTCAGACAATTGAACAAATCCCAGCTCAGCATTGAACTGTGAGTTTAAACAAGCCTTCTAACCTAAGCCTCTTTCATCCATAAAAGTGGATTATAATAATGTTTACCTAATAGAGTTGCTGGAAGGATTAAATGAAATAATGTACGTGACTGGTACAATACATGGCTGCAGCTGCCACATTATTCTCTTTTAGTCTGTGAAATTGCAGGACCCCCAGGTGGTGCTAGCTTAACCAATTCTTCATAGTATATGAGGGAAAAGTCCACACTATCCAGGCAGTGGCCAACCATTCCACTATTCTCAAACGAGCATCTTTAAATAAAATAGAAAATTTGGCTATTTTCTCCATTTCACTTGAAAAAAAAAATAGAAAACTTGGCTACTTGAGCCATCTCACTTGCAGCCAAAGGAGAAAATACACAATTGCTGGGTACACATTTATTCATCTGCCTTTCTAGAATATCAGCTTCTTTAGGGAAGGGTCATGTCTTGTTTATCACAATATCCACAAGACCTAGCACCAGGTACTGTAAGCACTCAGTTAAGTTTTGGTTGCTAGTTGAGAGAATAAATAAGTGCTAATTGTGTTGAGGCTTAGGAAACTATGCCAGGATCTGGTCCAATCTTTTGAGCTATGGGTTGGCAAAGTTACAGTAGTAAGATCAGAGTAAAGTCAATCTCCCTCCCTCTTTCCCTGTGCCGGCCAGGAAAATCCACTACAACCTAGCACATTCTGTACTTGGAACTTGAATAAGCACACCAGGTCTGAAACTTTCAGAAGTAAGGACAGTGTACTAGAATGCTTTCAATACTGAGTTTACTCAAACTCAACAACTTTTAATGTGCTAATGCCAAGATAATTCAAAATTTTCAAAAACACCTTCTTCCCAACACATGTCAGCCATAAATAATTTTTTTCCTGGTGCATTTCATCTTGATTTTCTACTGATAAATTTCACATCTTCTTGACTATATCCATTTTTTTTTTTAAAGCAGGAAAGGGGAAAGTGTAATGTTCCAAAGGAATTTCACTTGGTTCATTTTACCCTCTAGTACTTAATTAGAAATAAATTTTCACCTCTCAGAGAGTAAAGTACCTCTTCAAAATCTACCATCTGTTTTACATTAAAGTTCTGTTTGGCTGGCAAGCCTATCATTCTATAAGTACATAAATCAGGCAGGAAATTACATGGTTATAAAATGAGCTAGATGTTAACAAAATAATAGTTTACTGACTATAAAGCAAAATCGGTTCCATGCAGATAATAAACCAAAGCTATTTATAACCTGTTGCATAAAGTATGGTTAATATTCTCCAGATCATGACTAATTTTTAAAAATTTTTCAATTTAACAATTACTGAGATTTCCTAAGCACCATGCTAGACACCAGAGCTATAAATAGTAATCCCTACTTTTCAAAACAAAGTCTAGAGGTAGAGTTTTAAGGAAGAACTAGGATAATCAGGAAATGACTCATGGATCTGCAACTTGAAGGTTAAGATTTTAACAGCCTAGGCAGACAAAAGCAGTCATGCAGAGAGAACATTGCAAACACAGGCATGGAGATATGGAGATAGGAGCGTGCACATAAGAAATATTATTTAGGCAACAGACAACTATGGAAGGTCTCTGAATAAGAGAAATGTGACAGATCTGTGGGTTTGCTATGTGTTTCTTAATGCTTAATATAAGAGATCGTGCCTCATCCTCTCAACAGATATATTTCACACTGTAACTTATACTGGCATTCTGGTTTCATGCATCAGTCTCACACACTTGATATAAGCAGTCTACTGAGAAGTAAACTCTTTTCTTGGTTGGGAATCCATCAGATTTCTGTGCCTAGAAAGCTAAAGGTAGAATCTAGATGGCGATGAATTTACTGAGGCAATGTAATAATACATAGACCTGACTGGGGACCAGCTGGCCTTGCCCAGGTGACACCCAGATGTCACAAACTGTTTCTTGATGTTCCTACACAATGGCAATCAGAGTGACTCAGTGCAATGATCCACGTAAGTGAGGAAGGAATGGAACTAGAGCAGTAGCCTTACGCAGGCTGAGAATTTACAACAGACTTCAATGTGAGGGATAAGGGAAGGCAGGAGACTTCTCAGTGGATGACTGAAGGGAAGGCAACATCACTAAGAGGCAGTAAAAAGGAAGGGCAGGTCTAAGTTAAGAAAAAGAGGACATGACGCATTTAAGGTGTTGAGAAGAGCCATATGGAAATATCTAAAGGAAATTGAAAATATGGCTCACAATGAGGCTCAAGAGTAAAGTGCAACATGTCAAGTTGTGTTAACAGATAAAATCACCTGTGAAGAGAGTCCTAAAGGAGAAGAGGTCTGAGAACAGAATCTTGGGTTAAGTCCTTAAGGTTCAATGCATACCATTAAACAAAAAACTAAAGTGAAACGAGCAATGCCAAGTCAGCTTGTACACAGATGCTTTATTTTGGATGTTAATAGTCAAAACTGTAAGCAAGAATCTCTTACAATGGAAAGTTTTTGCATACATCAAGAAACTCAATTTAGTCAGGGTAATTGTTGTATTAATGTGAAAACCTTACAACAAAATACAGTATTATAAATGTGTACTCAGTTTCCATGCAAGTATGGCTGCTATATGTATATCAGGCATTTTTTTTATAATATACTGAAAGAAATTCAAATGAACACAACAAGATAAAGGTGACTTAAGATGCCTGATATGCTTAAGATTTAAAAAGTTCTTACAAAAAGCAACAAAGCAGTTAACTGAAGGATTCAACCAATACCAACCCAAACAGGTACTATGTCCAATAATCCCAGGCTTATCTGCAATATATTACTTCTGGGATAATTTCATGCTCAAGGAAATTATGCTTTAAAAAATATAGCTCTCCCAAGATATTATACTTTGGTGACTGGAGACTATGTACATCCAAACCAGCTAAGGGCTACATAAAGGTTTTTTTTAAAAAACAAAACAGGAAAAAAAAATGAACCATTATGTGCTATTAGTTCAAGGCAACTGAAACTGAAATAATCCAGTATGATTTTGTTACAATCATTGGTTTTACAAAGTGAAATTTCTGTGAGAAGTTCATTAATTAGGAAGCAATCAACATACTTAACAACCATGCTAAGAAAATTCCAATTGGTTCATCTATTTGTTATCAACAAGGCATAATCTTAGTAGCAGATACTTTTTTTTTTTCACTTCTCACTACATCTAAAATGCAAAAAAGAGCTAGTGGATTTAAATAGCTTAAAACCCTATTAGGTCTACTGTTCAAGAGCTCAGCATTAAAATACTTAGTACTTCCATTTCTATTAACATAAAGATATCAGAAATCTTAAGCTGTTCTTGTCTTAAGGCATAGTATTTTGGTATTTTCAAGAATCTGCCTGGTAATGGTTGATTCCATTAAGTTAACTTGAGAACGTGCCATCATTTGCGTTTTCTCTTTCCACACAGTGCAAGTGGTGGTCGCTCTTTCCTTCTCTCATAGCAGCAAGCCGACTCTGCTATCGTCTATAGCAGCATACTTCAGGGGTGGAGAGGGAGAGAGTGTGTCAATTATAAATAAAAATTAAAACTACAGTGTACAATTCTATTTACCTGTCAGTGTTTAAGTTGACAGCACACCATTATATATCTCAAAAAATACATAAAATCTCTACACAAAAGCAAATAAAGACATTCTTTCAAGAAGAAATAAAGTTAAGTGCAAACACCTAAAACAGGCAACTGAAGCAACTGTTGTAACCTGTAGAGAAACACAAATTTTATAAAAGGACAAAATATTTTTATAAATAAAAAATAATGTTCTCTACTTCTGAAACATTGAGTATATATAATAAACTTCTAAGTGCAGACTGTTTTTAGGGACCAAAGTACCATATTATTTTTTTAAACAAAATGCAAAAAATTTCAAACACATATACAAATCACCAGATTAATTTATATAACCCCTCCCCATATAATTTAAAAGAAAATATTAAATTATTATTTAGTACTTTTTTAGAACTACTTTATAACCAACATGATTTAAAGGGCATAGTGCAATATTTAGGTAGATGTGACATACAGTATAGATATTGTATATTTTGCAGCTATAACTTAGTTCTGTTTCATACTTAAAAGTCAAAATTGTTCTTTAATATGTCAGCTGTAATAACAGGAAACAACACTGGCTTCTAGACATCCTGTCTAGGTATAAATATCTACATTTGAGCTTTAAAAATGAAAATAAATTATAAAAACAGACTTCTTTCCAATTTACAAAGTTTTTCTGCTCCTACATGCTGTACAATACATTCAACAAACTCTCAGCTCTTCTGAGATTTATGAAGAAAATACTGACTCTTTACAAAGGAAAATACCCTTTTTCCCTGCTTTTTGTTTTTAGTACTATGCTCAAATAAATAATTTAACACTGTAGTTATTGTTTTTGAAAAATACCAAAAATTAGTAGTGCAACTTTCTATCCTTCCTTTAACTTCCTTTCCATTGTGTTTCTTTGTAAATGGCAGCCTAAGTAAATCAGCACGCAGGCAAAAGTACTTCATAAAAACACGTGTGCTTCCCATACATAGACTAACTTCAGAAATCACACATAAATCTATCTATAACAAAACTGCAGCATTAAGAGAGTAACAACATATATCTTTTGAAGAAAATGTGTGAGTTTACTTTAGAATATCCATGAAGATTACAATATAATTTTTTCATCTTGTTTTTTAAAAACAATTTTAAAAAATTTCATCTCTTAAAAAATAAACTATGAAATTGCCTACCCCTGACTTTCTGCCTGCTAAGTATGAAAAAAAAATGCAAACTGTTTTAGGGATGTATTAAAACCTTAAAAACAATTAATTGACAGAAATTTAATTGCAACCTAATTTAGTATAAAATATAATAAGGGAATGGGGCATTTCATCAGTTTTAATAACAATTACAGTATGAGAGCTCTTGAAGTGCTGCCGGTAGCTGTGTAACTGCTCAAGTATTTTCTTGCTTGTTCAGTCATGATAAGTTGGTCTTCTGTCTTCCCATAAACCACTGTTTCCCATTCACAATTTGACTAGGAAGGAAATATTAATAGTATTGTTAAAATTACTAAAATACTTAATTATCTATACTACCTCAAAATTACACTTTTAAAAGTAAATTATTTTAACTGATTGGATTATTTGATAAGTAGTTATAAAAATATTTGGATAATGGTATTGTGATTCTTTTTAAATGGTGCTGTGTTTTAAAAACACATACTGGGCCCTGACTGGTGTAGCTCAGTTGGTTGAGCATTGTCCTGCAAGGCTAATGGCTGTTGGTTTGATTCTCAGTCAGGGCACATGCCTCGGGCTGTGGGTCTGATGCATGGCTGGGGCACAAGCAAGAAGCAACTGAGTGATGTTTCTCTCACAAACTGGTGTTTCTCTCTCTCTCTTTCTCCCTCCTTTCCCCTCTCTAAAAATAAGTAAAATCTTAAAAAAGAAAAAAGTGGTGACTATTAAGTCATAATTAAAAAAATACATACTGAAAAATTTAAGGTCATTTTTTTAGATTTCTATATTGTTTACAAGATTGTGGAAGCAGTTTAAAATTTTTGTCCCCACAATTTCCTCTCCACCCTCAAATCAAATCAGTCTTAACGTGGAAAGAAATGTCAGTCTTTACTGCTTAAAAATTTAACAAAAGGTTGAGAGGATGTTAACATCAAAAAATGAGCTAAAAATGCTTTATGTCTTGCAAATTAGGAAATATAGTCATAGCACAGTCAAGTTTACATTTGTTTCATTTGTTTTCTGCCCTTATTATAAGGGTTACTACATTGTAGGTATGACTTACTATGTAATAAATTTTCCTGAAAAGTTTTGTAAAACACTTGAAAATCAAATCATTTTAAATGGATTGAGAGAATATGCTACAAGGCCCTTTGAAGAGCAGTGGTTCAAGATAGAGATGAGGTGGCAATATTTGATCACCAAAGATGATTTCAAGAAACACTAGTGCTGTAATTGCGGTGTAAAGAAAACTTCCTCCTCAATGAACTCTCAAATTCTTTGGGCTGAACATAGTAAAAATTTTCCAGCCTTCATTTGCAGCTACATAAGGGCTGCAGAGCAACAGAAAGAAAAAAGGATTTTGTTCTACAACTTCTGAACCAAACGTTCACTGGAAACCATTATGCCAACAAAATCAAACACAAACTGCTTCTAACCACCTACCCTTTCAAGATAGCAATTAGGGATATACTTATTTGTTATAAGAGAAGAGGTTCCAGAAGTGGATTGCAATATCTTTAGTTTAAAAATGAAATAATATGCACCCCTATGTTCATTGCAGAATTATTTACAATAGCCAAAATTTGGAAGCAGCCTAAGTGCCCATCAGTATGTAGGTGGATAAAAAGGCTGTGGTACATTTACACAGTGGAATACTTCTCAGCCATAAAAAGAAAGAAGGAAATCTTACCCTTTGTGACAGCATGGATGGACCTGGAGAGTTTTGTGCTAAGTGAAATAAGCCAGTCAGAGAAAGACAAATACCATATGATTTCACTCATATGTGGAATCTAATGAACAAACTGAACTAACAAGCAAAACAGTGACAGACTCATAGAGAATACACTGACAGCTGTCAGAGGGGATGGCTGGGTGAAAAAGATGAGGGGACTAAGCAAAAAACAAACACAAAACTCATAGATACAAATATCAGTATGTGATTACTTCAGGGAAAGGGGTTAGGGAGAGGGAGAAGAGGATAAAGGCAGGATAAATGGTGATGGGAGGAGGCTTGACTTGGGGTGGTGAACAAACAATGCAATATATAGATGATGTGTTATAGAATTGTACATCTGAAACCTATATAATTTTATAAACCAATGTCACTCCAATAAATTCCATTATAATTAAGAAAAATAAAAATAAAGTGAAACAGTGCCTAGGAAATCACCAGAGGCGTCTCTGGCTACAACTCAGACTGTTTAGTTTATATGTGCCCTGATGAATGAATCACTCAAAACCCAAATCTAGTTTGAGTGACAAAATAATGTTTAGTTACTGTTATAGTCAATGTCAAATTTAAAAAGAAAAAGCATTATTTGTGATCAGTAAGACCAAGGTGATAATTGAATAAACAACAACAAAAATCACTAAAAGAAATTTATAAATTCATACCTGAAGATTCTTTTCCAATGTGACAACTTTGGGAGTGTTAGGGTTTGGTTTCTTTTTATTAAGTGTATATGTTTTGTTGGTTGAATTTGTATCTTGTTTTTCAGGAGTCAAGTTGCACCTATTGTCGTGTATTTCCAATAATGGTATCATTAATAAAGATGTTGTAAATATATTTTCTGACTGAGAGAGAAAAAAAAGAAAGAGGAAAATAAAATAACTAGTTCAAAAACAGAGACAAATAGAGGGACTACTGAGTAGGCAGTAGGAGAAGCCTGGTTCATTTCCCTCCAAGAAAGCTTTTGACTCCAATAAACTTTCTAGTAATGCAGTAAAATTAAATTTATCAGAAATGAGCCAAAGATAAATACTGAAATTTAAAGTTTTAAGGACTACCATTTTTTGACATCATGCATAAAAGACCCAGCTCCTCTCAAAAAAAAAAACCAACCACACATAAAAAGTAAGGAAGCAAATAAAAATATTCCTAATAGTTAATAGCTTCTTTCTGAATTAGGAAGAATAATACTAAAGGAAACTTTATATAAATCTCTAATGAATTGACCACACATTGAGTAAGAAATAAAAACTACTAGGACTTAAAACAACCATTAAAAAAAAAATGCTTTACAAACCTGTGTATCTAAAATGTCTTCAGTCAATAGTTGAGTACCTGGTTCTTCTTTTTCCCAATTATCTAAGACTAGTGATTTTCTGACTTTCTTCACAGAACCAGTATGCTAGAATGAATAATTTACAATAAAAACATTATAGCAAAGTCACTTGGACATGATAAGGCTTTTATTAACAATAAACAATATTAAAAGGTCACCTCTTGTTTGCAGCTTTTGTAGGCAGGTTCATCTTCCTCTTTGAGGAATATGTCTGTTCCAGTTTCTTCTTTTAAAACTTCCCGAATATCTTCTTCCAAAAAGGCAAGTGGCTGTGACTAAATTGTTTTTTAAAAGGTTTTTTAAAAGTCTTTCAAAACAACTCCTTTTCTTCCCATATATAGAAAACCATCTTCTATACTTTTTCATTAATGGCTTAATTTTCTCCCAGTCCCTCTTGATACAAAAGTTAATCAACTAACCAGTTTTATAGCAAAAATAATATTGCACATTGCAAGCATTGACCGAAGTGTGGCACTATCTTCACATTTGGTAAGTGAAAGCACAGATAACAAACACTTCCCATCTCTATTCATGAACGACTATTGCTAGCACTATTATTAAAATTATTTTAATAGCAGCAACTAATAAAGCACATAATGTTGTACTTGAAACTTAGCCTCACTGGATTTACTTCTATTATCTCTTTTATCTTCACCAAGAACTCCCTGGGGTGTGTTTTATGATCTCCGTTGAACAGAAGAGGAAACTAAGCCTTAAAGAGATATCCTGATCAGTTTAAAAAATATTATTTAGAAAGTGCTTTGTATATCAAAATATTAAAGTTATTTTATTCCATTACAGGTAACCACTACTGAAGCTACTAAAAGGGTGGTTTTAGTGTTAAAAATAGAGCTCCACTAACACTTGATTTGCCTTCTCTAGAAGATAGAAAGTAAAAATTCAAACAAGCCAAGCCAAGGTTTATCTACAAGAAAAAAGATGAACACAAATTCAAACTTACAAATCAAGAGATAAAATTTTTATCAGTTTCAGTGAATATCTTTTTTAAAATATTAAAAATAAAGGATAAAAATCAAAATCTGTGTTTTTATTACATTAGGAAAATTCTTAAAAATAAAAAGAATATACATACCACAATTTTAAGGGGACCGTATTTTTTCTCCTGAGCAGCAAGTGCATTTTTAAAAGGAGTAGGAGTTCTTGGTGTGGTACCCAATATAGATCTTCTAATTGTAGGTGTTCTAAACCTATTCAATCATTTAGATATTTGTTACAGTCAAAATTTGACTTCATATGAATTAAGGAAGGCAAAGTCATGATAAAAAGCACATACTTTTCTTGCATATATATATATATATATATATACACTTCATTTAAACATTACAGTCCTACTGTAAAGTATGCCTGTTTAAACTAATTCTTATTCCAATCAATGTTCTTTATTTTCCCCTGTGTATTTTGTAGATGTGATTAAAGGCTATAATTAGTTGACTGTATTTCAAGGATCTTAAAACAGAAAATAGAACTAATGTGGAAAAAAAGCAGTAAAAACATCATTATGCTTGAGTTCAAAGTTTTAACAAATGCATTTTGCTGGTTTGCAGCCTCCTGGGGATAAAACATAAGGTTACGATTTTGTTTTCAATTCTAAGTCCCATGTAGATAGGGATTATGATATATGCATAAATGGACAAAAAACTAATAATCTACTCTTGAAATTGTGCTTTCTGGGCTTATTTTTAAACACAATTATTTAATACCTACTTACCCTACATTTTCCTTTTGATCTTTGGGGGTTGTTTCCTTATGAAGAGGAGTTGTGATGAGAACTTTCTGCCCACAAATAGGGGTGGATGTAAATGAAGGATTTTCTATATTCACTTGTTCATTTCCAGAGCATGTGTTGAAAAACTAAAAACAAAAGAGAGTTTAAAGACAATTTCTAGAGCATCAATATCCCTGCATAACAAATTAAACTGATAATATTTTCAAATTATGTTCCAATTTCTCTTAGAAAAGGATTGCCAATAATAACACATTTACACTCCACTCCATGAAAATTAGCTCCAGGAAGGCAGGAATTTTTGTTTTGTTCATTACTGCCTTCCTAGAAATTAGAACAGGCATTCAAGAAATAGTCACTTAACGCATATTTAAAATTTACAAAACAGTAAAAAATTTTAAAACAGTATATTATCAAATAGGAATCTAGAAACTATAAATAGCTGCTGTGTTAAATGTAACAGATTTCTACAACAGTATAGCCGAAAAAAAGTTTTATTAGTTTATTAGTAAATGATCTTCAGTGTCCTTTCCTATGAGAATACTTTGGATTCAGAATAATGCTTTGCTGATGAGAAATACAGCTCTTTGGCAAATGTGCTTACTTATAATACAGCTCAGAACCTCTGAGCAGCCAAAATTGGTATCGTATAGTCCATTTTCCAAATGACACACTTTACTCATTGGATTTTAACTTATGTGCAATTGTGAAATAGTAATTTATTTTTGAAGCCAACAGATTAGAGGCAGTGGTAGGAAGAAGTGGAAATTGCTGTAAGGCTATTTATAACTGGAATGAGTCCTAGCTCTATCATTTTTAGTCCTAATGTTGGCAATATACTTACCCCTAAGATTAGCAATCAAGCCCTTGTAAAACCCTGCAGCAATGCCCATCAATTACAGCATAAAATTCAAGCTCTTTGCCATTGGATATAAGGTCTTTATAATCATGCCTCACCTTTTCAACCTTGGATTTTACACTTCAACAAAAATCGCTAGTGTGTAAAGCTCTAGAAATAGAAAATTGCTAGTGTGCCCAAGCCCATTTCCTCTTCCTCTAGGATCTGTGTAACTGAGGGCAAGGGTGGGGTGGGGGGTCGCACTATTCACATTGCAACCTACGTAAATGACAGCTCCTGAAGGGCAGGGAAGGCACAATTTTCAGAAAACATAGTGATTGTGTCCTGCCAGATCTTCCTCATATTCCTAACATCAAAATATCTCCAGTAATATCTCAGCACCCTCCAAGTTTATTTGACCATTAAACCTCCTACTCCCATAAAACTTTTTAACCTATGTCAGGACAACTTGCTTAACTTCTGAATTTCATTGCACCTACCTCCTAAGATTTTTTGAAAGAGGATTAACTGAGATGCTATAAGAAAAGTGTTTAGCACACAGCCTAGAACATAGTGTTCATTAAAAAAGAGAGGTATAGTTTGCCCTAATATAAATATCTGCAGCCAGGAACATTATTATAGGAAAAAGCACGTAGTTCTTGATACCCCTAGAAAAATCTGACGTGAAATTCTTACAGTGAACAGTATCTATCTATCTATCTCTCTATCATCTATCTATCTATATTGGGTAGTCAGAATACTTGATATCAAGCTCATCTCTGCCATTAGATAATTTGGGCAAAACATTTTACCTTTCTGGGCCTATTTCCTGATGAGTCCCATTAAAGATGTGGGACTACACATTTAAAAATTATAAGACACTCTAATGGCACTACTACACTTTGGGAGATATATTCTGATTTATCAGAGCTGAGCATGTTCATGTATTCATTTTAAGTATGTTATCCATTTTTATATGATATGGAAGCAATGAACTGCTAGCAAGGATATTAAAGATGTAATTTAATGTAGCTCATCAATATTTGGAAAGATAAATAGAAACAACACTACTACCTGTGAAGGAGAAAATGGTAGTGTTTTCACTGGTGTGTGTTTTAATGCTGCATTACTGCCATCACTGAATGAACCATCACTAAGTTCACTGCTGGGGGACTGGCCCACTCGTGTTCTTCTCTTCTTTCTGAGAATGGTTGGTGGAGTACTAAACTTGACCACATTTGGGGATGTTAAAGGAACAGCCTCATTTTCTGCACCATTACAACTGTTTTTTTTCTCTTCAAGTACCAGGCTGACGTTAAACTGACATTCCATGGCACCTTCATTGTGCTGAATTCGCATAAGTTTAACTGGAGTGGACTTGACAGGAGAAGCAGCAGCATCAGTAAGATCGAAACTGGTAACATCACTCCATGCTACAGGATCCTGCAATAAATTAAATTCTTAAAGTTAATGTCGTAAACTAGTTAAATCTGATCTTGAACTTGGGATGATTTCCACAGATAATTAACTTCATTTTTATCAATAGGAACAGGTTTTCCTTTCCTTCTTCATCTTTTTTTAAACAGGATCATTTGAGAGGAACAGATTATGGTTTTACCACGACTCCAATTTGGAATAGTCCAAAATAATATTCCATCTAATTCACTAGCTAAAGCTTACTGTCAACATATTATAAATAAAAGGAACAAATTATTTTGTTATTATCAAAGAGTACTATTCATCATAAAACTTCACACTCTATTCTACATCAGAAAAATACCATTAAATTCTACATAATCATTTGGTAATGTGTAGGGGACATCTTCAAAATAGTCATACACTTTGATCCAGAAATTCATTAACCCAAGGACATAACAATGATTTTGCACAAAGATTTACATAATACATTCTGCAATTTGTAATACTGAAAAACTGTACACCATTACCAATAAGAAGAGTACAATGGGTAAAAAAATTTTGTCACAGTCAAAGGACAGGACACTATGAAGCCATTAAAATTCAAGTTTAAGAAAACAGTTAAGGAAACATATCTGCTCATGATATGTGGGGGGGGAAATCCACAGATACATAAGTGTATATTGGGCTCTTAAAATATATGAATATGTATGTTTCATATGTATAGAACATAGCCTGAAAGGAAATACCTCAGATTATTAATTCTTGATTTATGGAAGATTTTAATTTTTTTCCTTACAGTTTTCTCTAGTTCCCAACTATCTCTAGCATATTCATACAACTCGTATAACGAAGAATGAAATGGTAAATTTTAAATTAAAAAAAGTTCTATACAAGGTACATACTTGAGAAAGATTTATATATTTTTTCCAGAAGTCACTGCAAAATATAAGAGTGAAATTAAGCATGACAAAGTAATGCTTAACATAAAACTGGTCAGTGCCCATTAAACTGAGTTTCTAAACATGAAGCCATGTAACTAAGATCAAGCTTTTGATAATCTCAGAATTTCAAACTTACAGATTCAATAAGTTCTAGAGTCTCTGCAAATTCTGGGATGGTCTGTAGAGAGGACAGCACAGCATTTGCCTCAACGGCCAGGAACTTTGTGGGTGAATTCTGCTGAGCAGTCAGAGGCTGATTTTCATCCATACTGTAAAACTCACTAGTGTGCTCCTCGAGGCTATTTAGAGTATTAGATGTGCTGTCATCCATGAGGAAACTACCAGACCAGCTAGAAAAGCTTCCAGGCTGCTAAAAGTACAAAAGAAATTTGAATATTATTTGTCATTCTCAACCTAAGCATAAAATTTGTATTTTAAGTAAGAGTTCTTTTTCCTATAACAACATACTTTACAACATTTCAGCTAAAAAATATCATAGCAAATATACTTTCTTTCCTCAAAATTGATTGAATTTTTTTCATTAAATTTCATATCTTGACTTTATTTCTTCTTTCTCAAATCATAGAGGTCTATAATCATATACACGTGAATCCAAATCCCTAACAATAAACCACCTACTTCACAGAGTTAATATAAGGATTACCAAAAATTCATATAACACATCCATAATGGATACTCAGTAAAACAGTAGCTATTATTAGCATATAATTGTTAACAATAAATACTTTATATGTGTATGGAGGCTATTTTGCTGGGTATAGCAACTTTCCTCTAAAATCTAGAATCTCCAATCTCCTTACAAACCAGATCTTTACGAGAGTGGATTTTAGATAGCTAGTTCTTTTAAAAACAAACAAAAAAAAAACCTTTCCCCTTTTTAATGCAAAATGTCAATTTTTTTTGGTAGTTATATTTTCCTGCTAAGTTAAAAATGACAAACTACTTACTATCTGAAAAATAAAAAAATGGTTTAAACATGATCTAATTATGTGACTCTAACCATAACTATTTATTTGTAGCTTCTTAATAAAACCAAAATTAATTTTAAAATAAGTACTCTTCAGGTCTTCCTATTTGCCCATAGTTTTTGCAGTTTGAAAACAAAAACTACTCTCCCTATGGTATATATCTTATCTATTACAACTAACAAGCATCATTTTTATTAATACTCTTTTAAATAATATAAAGATATCACCAATTAACTCATAATAACATTCAAAGATCTCAAGTTATTCTATTTAGTAATTCTGTATTAGTTCCCCATCCCTCATTCAGCCCCAAACCAAGGAAAACCCTTCCTTAAATGTAAAAAGTCTCAGGATTTAAAAATTTTTAAATTTCACTTAAGTACAAACTTTTTTTTCTCTTAATCCATCTACAATAGCCTGTTTAACTTTGCTATAATGATTACTATTTATCCTAATTTAATACTAATAGTTGTTCTCAGCAACCAAATCTCAGACAACAGTTTTCACACCTGGTAACCAAAACCCAACATCCATATAAAAATTTCTTTAGAGAGGATAAAATCTAAATGTTCTTTTTCTTCATAGCATTTTTATATGCCAATAACAAACAAAAAGGGAGATTAAGAAAATAATCCCATTCACAATTTCTTCAAAAAGAATAAAATACCTAGGCATAAACCTAACCAAGGATGTAAAAGACCTGCACTTAGAAAATTACAATACACTGAAGAAATTGAAGAGGATACAAATAAGGGGAAGCACATATTGTGTTCATGTATAGGAAAAATTAACATCATTAAAATGTCCATACTACCCAAAGCAGTCTATAGATTCAATGAAATTCCAATTAAAATACTTCATATTTCACAGAACTAGAACAAATATTTCAAAAGTTTATATGTAACCACAGGAAGTCCTGCATCCTGCAGAGCAACAGTCATCCTGAGGAAGAAGAACAAAGTTGGGGGAATCACACTACCTAATATCAAACTATATTATAAGGCCATAGTAATCAAAACAGCATGGTACTGGCATAAAAACTGATGGATTGACCAATGGAACAGAATAGAGAGCCCAAAAATAAGCCTACGCCTTTATAGTCAATTAATATTTGACAGAAGGAGCAAGCACATACAATGGGCTAAAGATAGTTTATTTGATAAATGGTGTTCAGGAAATTGAACAGATATGCACAGACAAATGAAACTAGACCACCTTTTTACATCACACATGAGAATAAATTCAAAATGGATTAAAGACTTAAATGTTAGACCCAAAACCATAAAAATCATAGAAGAAAAGATAGGCAGCAAAATCTTAGACATTGCTCATAGCATTTTTATTGGATATAACTCCCCAGATAAGGAAAACAAAAGAAAAAACAAACAAATTGGACTAAATCAAACTAAAAACTTTTTGTACAGCAAAGGAAAACATCAACAAAATAACAGAACCCACAGAATAAGAGAACATATTTGCCAATACATCTGATAAGGGGTTAATATCAAAAATTTATAAAGAACTTACAACACTCAACATGAAAAAAACAAACAAGCCAATTTAAAAATGGGCAAAGGACCTGAATAGACACTTCTCCAAAGAGGACATACAGATGGCCAATTGACACATGAAAAGATGCTAAACGTCACTATTATCATCAGAGAAATGCAAATTAAACCACAATGAGATATCATCTCACATTGGTCTGAAAAGCTATCATCAATAAATCAACAAACAAGTACTGAGGATGTGGAGAAAGGGGAACTCTTTTGCACTGTTGGTGGGAATGCAGATTGGTGCAGCCACTGTGGAAAGTAGTATGAAGATACCTCAAAAAATTAAAAATGGATCTGCCTTTTGACCCAGGAATCCCATTTCTAGGAATATATCTGAAGGAACCCAAAAGACTAATTTGAAAGAACATAAGCACCCCTATGTTCACTGCAGCATTATTTACAATCACCAAGATATGGAAGCAGCCCAAGTGTCCATCAGTAGATGAGTGGATAAAGAACTAAAGGACATTTACATACTGGAATACTACTTGACTGTAAAAAAGAAGTACCCTTTGCGACAGTATGGATGGACCTGGAGAACATTATGCAGAGTGAAATAAGCCAATCAGAGAAAGACAAATACCATATGATTTCACTCATATGTGGAATCTAATGAACAAAAACTAACACACAAAATAGAGACAGACTCATAGAAAGCAGGATGACAGCTAAGGGTGGGGAGGGTAGGGGTAGATGGACTGAGTAAAAAGGAAAAAAGTACTCATGGACATGGACAACAGTGTGGTGATTACAGAGGATATAAGAGGACTAAATGGTAATGGAAAAAATACAATAAAAAAAAAAACAGGAACCTTAAAGCTGCAAATCAGAATGACTATTTTTAGTCTATATAAAAATCTGAAGTCATAATGAATATGCTTTCTAATTCTTGACATACAAAAGTCAATGCTAATGAAAATTATAAAAGTATATAAAAGATTCTGACAATAAAATATAAACACTTAACCTAATTTCTTACCGATGGAACTCGCTTTCTTCTAACTTCATTCTCCGCTGACATAAGAAGCAACTCAAGTTCCTTTATTTTTTTTTCCTTATCAGGATCTTCATCAACAAAGGGTTGCTAAAATAAGTTAAATAAAAAACAGGCTATTTAAACAATTGATTTATTATTATTAGTGCTCTAATTTTTATTTTCTTCTACACAACATAAAATCTATTTTTTTCTAAAGCTTAATACTACGAGATCCCAAATATCTAGTATCACAATCCCTCTGGAATCTAAAGAGGTGATGGTAATATTTACAATGGGAGAGAAAATATTGGGGAAATTTAAATGCATAAAAAATATATATTTCATCATCTATATCAATTTAAAAATTTGCATCTGGAGTATGTTTTAACTGATTAAATCTTAGTACATATTCTTAACCAATTTAGCAAAATTATGTCCACTTACAACCTGACTACATTAAGTTGGAAAATAAAAGAACCACCTTACTGGTATTGTCTCCCACTTTCCCTTTATATAGTGTATGTTTCTCAAACCCACTTAACAAACATTCTCCTTTAATGTTGTAATACTCAAAGTAAATGGGACAGATAGTATTGTTTATGTCTTTGCTTTACATATGAGGAAACAGTCACTATTAGACTTTCAAAAATGTTTGAAATCATTTCCTATGTTTTATTATAAATAAAGGTTACCTGAATAAAGGCAGAAGTCTGAACATGTTCTATACAATTGCCTTCAGGTGACACATACTGATAGGCCGGAATCTAAAAGCAATTAAATCATTAATGTTGTACATATAACACTTTAAAATCTGAGACAAAGCACAAAAACTCTTGATAAAATATCAATGTTAAAAAGTCAGAAAGTATTTTTGTTAACTTTGAATGTTCACACCAACAATAGTTTCTTATCTACTAAGTACATCTCTTTTATCAGGGTCTGATTAGAAGTCTTAACACAGGAAAGATCTATCTTCTAGATGAAATGTGAGAATTACTCGGCTTAGATTTATCAGCCAATCACTCTATCTATTAACTACAATATCCACAAAGTGCTTTTTAAAATCTGCTATTAGGACTGCTCTATTTCCTGGAGAAGACAAAGTAATTGTGTTCCTATCTTTCAGAGGAAGAGACTAGTCCTTATAAGGCACTCACAGAGATGGAGACTAAAACAAATTTTTCAATGTTCACATCTCTTACACCTACCACCATCCCATGGCAACCTCTAGGTAGAAAGATATGAAAATAGAGGCTCCTTATAGTGCTTGTCTTAGAAAAAAATCAGAATCACTCATGTACTTTTTAATACTTCGACAATAGACAAAGAATTTTTCTTCTTCTTTTCTAAAGCATTTGTAATAAGAATTTTGGAGTTGCATGCAAATTTAGCATGCAGTGGTAGAAAGAAATATGAGAAGGTATTTATTAAAACCTTAAAATATAAATCTAAATATGATATTGTATATTTCCCATAATGGCCTACCCTAAATCACTAATGTGGAATCATTACACATAACTTCTAACCTTAGACTTAATTTTCACAATAGTTGATTAGCATCAGTTATCAATCAACTTGGTAACTCTAATGGATTAGAAATATAGCTTTCTCACATTTTTCATTAAAACCTGTAACAATTTGATAGATTTCAAATCAATCTTTTTTTCTTTCAAGTAAAAAACAGAATTATCTTTTTAGTGGTTTAAATGAATTGAACTATAAATATACAAGAAATATATATAAATCTTTCAAGAATTATTAAACATAAGGGAAACAATTCTTAAAGTACAAGAAATATCCTTATCTTTCCAATATATTTTAAGACTGTTAAATATTCCCTTGACCCCAAATAATTTTTTAAAATTATCTTTCTATGAGTTAAAAAAATAAATTTAAGTAATCTTTCTAAGACAGAAGAATGTTTCCGTTTATGCTGCTGAAATATAGTACACTAAAGAAAAATGTAAAGTAACAGACAATAAAAACCTAGCAGGGGTGTCCAACCTTTTGGCATCTCTGGGCCACACTAGAAGAAAAGTTGTCTTGGGCCACACATTAAATACCCAAATACTAATGAACACTGATGAGCAAAAAAAAAGGTTTTACATAAATTTAAGATTTTATGTTAGGCTGCATTCATAGCCATCCTGGCTGGGCTGCATGCGACCTGCGGATTGCTGGTTGGACAGCCCTGCAGGTATTGAGTGTCAGCAGATAACTAAAATGTCTTCATATGTCTTCCGATTCGTAAATTAAGATGTCATTACTTTATTTTAAAATTATGTCTTTAAAAATGTCCATTTAATGGAATAAAATCAATTCTGAGGCAAACAAAGCATAAATTTTTAACACCTAGCCAAATTTTGTCTTTTGGTAGGTACCATTAACTCCTGACTTAATTTTTACATTGTGGCAAGAACCAAGAATTGCTCAACATGAACAATGGCATGACAGATGGCTAGACAGGGAAATGTAAAACAAGCCTTATGAAAACTGCTACTAAACTAATTTCTTACAGGTGGGAAAATGCACTGTAAGGAATATAGAGTTGCCCCATTATGAACTTGGGTAATCTCTAATGAACATGAAGACTGAAGTCACTCAACTGGCTGGTTAGTAGGGGGAAGCAAAACTGAATGCCATCAAAGAACCAGTTATTTACCACACCCTCCAAAATGATGGCTTAGATATTATTTTACTGTTTTCTCCTTTAAACCATTTTATATACACATACATCTTAGGGAGAAGGTATACTACAATTACAAAAAGTTTTTTTAAACTATAATAGATGTTAAAGCAGATTTAATCATTAGTTTCAAATCATAAACAAAGATTCAAAAAATGATAGTATTAGGAAAGGTACATACTAAGTTTTTATATATAAAAATTACATATATCTATAAAAGGAAACATTTTAATGAGTTTGTTCCCAAAATATTTATCAAAACAAGTAGAGATAAACCTCCACTAATTACTTAACAGCAGTTATGGACTATTTTTTCAGCTTAGAAATTCAAATGTCTATTCCCCTCACTATATGTTGTATTTGTCCTATTAAGAAATCAAACACCTTCCCATATAGCAACTTAGAAATTTTAGAAATAATAAGCGTATTAAAAATATGTGCCTGAACAGGTATGTAAAACTGATTCTGGGTTTGCAAGTGGTCCATTGCTGCACAAGGTTTGTGTTGAAGTTTAGATGAAGACTTTATTCCATCTTGTAAGTAGCCCTCCTGTTCCACTTTTCTTCGCATAGTAGAATTCCAATGGTTTTTGATAGAATTATCAGTTCTGTAAAATGAAAGTTTATAATTTTAAAAGAAAAAGGGATCCCACAAATTTTAATACTGTATAAAATGTATAAAGTGCATTTTACAGCATTTATGTAAAATTAGATACTTGTTTAATTAAAAAGACAAACTGTATGTCTACTATATGAGGCACAGTTCTAAGCACTGGAGCTATAGCAGTAAAGAAGACAAAGAAAGTCCCTTTCTTATGGAATTTACATTCTCATTGGAAGTGAGGCAGAAGGAATGGAGAAGAATAGAAAAAGTATATAATAAGAAATATACCAGTGCAATGAAGATCATTAAACTAAGTCAAGAAAATTGAGTAAAAAGGGCAATTTTGATTAGGTAGTCCAGTAAAACCTCTGGGAGGTGACAGTGAAGCTAAGATCTGAATGACGAGGGTAAACCAACCATACAAGAACAGAAAAAAAGAGCACTCCAGATTAAGGGCATAGTGAGGACAAAGACCCTGAAGCCAGGAGCAAACATGGTTGTGAAAAGCAACCACAAATTACAGAATCCCAGTATTACTTTTCACTTACTTAGAATAAAATATCTGTGGAAGCAAGTTCATGGGCTCCCCTTTTACCTAAGTTTCCCTTATATAAATCTTCAACCTACAGATACTTGTAGAATAAATTCCATCTTTCATAAAATCTATAAACATTTACTTAGAACCTAATTTATATCAAGGTACTAGGCCAGGTTCTATGCACCACAGTAAAAAGATGTAAGATATTAAAAACATCAAAAGTTCCTAGACCAGGTTCAGTAACTTGAAAAAAAAAAACTTACCACTGTGCTTTAATTTCCTTATCTATGAAAATAGCAATGTTTGCTCTGTGTATTTCATAAGTATATGAAGATTAATTAAGAATATATACACAAGTATTTTATGTTTTTGTATTAAACAAGGAAGTATTATACAGATAGGGATTACAAAAATTAAAAAATGCGTATCTTCTAAGTGAGGCATAGATTTTCCCAAGGTTGTTGGTCTATTGTACTACTAGGAAATATTTTACCCAGTGCAACATATAGTGTACACAGCATATCAATACCCCTGAGGGAAATTCTGTACTTTAGCCACATGGATACTCTCATGATTTGGATCATACCATAATTAATTAAGAATTACATTTTCTCTCATGTAATTTCATAGTTTATTTCAGCCAGTATATTTGTTAATTTTTGGGGGGCTTATGCACAGAATCCAATACAAAAGAAATCTCTTCAATTCAGATTCCATTCCAACCAAGTTTGAAAAAAGACCATCTGCCTGACTGGTGTTGATATGTAAACATAATTTGGGGAGTGTGGTAAATGTTCATAATTCAAAGGCCTATCATTTTATTGCATGAATTACTACTATAAAATATTTCATTAAAAAGTAATTATATTCCTTACCACAGATATATTATAAATAGACCCAAAGGGTTGCTTGTATTATATAGTCTCAATTTTAATTATAAATAAAAGTCATGGGGTACTTGCAAATATATTTAACAGTAACATAATAAAGATCAAGTTTAAATACAGCAAAATCTATATACATTTATATAAGCACCTTCCAGGAAGCAGTTTGGCAATCTCTGCCCAACGATTTCCCAACCGTTTATGTGCTTCATAAATGATCCTGTCTTCCTCTTCTGTCCAGGAAGATTTCTTTACCTCAGGATTCAGATGATTATGCCATCTTTCTCTACACTGCTTGCCTATTCTTCCTTTTAAGTGTTTTGCAATTAAAGACCATCTTTTTGGGCCATATTTCTGAACCAATTCAATAACCTAAGAAATAGAAAAACAAAGTTTAAAAAAGCATTACCTTGACAGAATGATAAAAACATAACACATAAATACTTTTTTAAAAAATGCATTAAATCCAAGCCATAACTACAACTTAAAAATAAAAAACAATTTACCAATAAATGCTGCTTCAGTATTTGCCCAGTTCAAAAACTGATCCCAAACTTATTTAAAATACAAGGTACTAATTAAACTTGTAAGTTAAATAGTTTTCATTTAAAATAGCAGTGAAAATGTTGAAACTTATGCATTTTCTAGTTTTACATCTTAAAAAAAACAAAAACAAAAACAGAAACTTCAGCTGAAAGCCAAATAAATCAGTTTGGAAATAGGAAGGATCTACAGTTATTGTCCTTTGATTTCTTCCTTTCGCAAATTGAAAGGATCAAGCGCAAACTTTTTAAAACTTATCATTATCCATCAGGTAAATCAAATCAATTCTGAGCTTAATTAAGTAACTTTTTTTTTAATGGAAATAAAAATACTCTAATTCTCCAACTACATTAACAATTTTTATGCCATAGGGGCATGAACTAAAGGGTAATTCCAAATGGAGGACAGGAATTATTGCACTCTTCTCAGACTTTTTTAATACAAAGGGTTATTTTGGCTAAATTATCCAACACTTTGGAAATGTAATGCTTTGTTATCTATCTTATTTGAGGGTCTATTATAGGTCAAAAGGGAAAGTTGAGAATGACTTCCTTACACATAATGCTATCAGATAAAATAAAATTGTTTTTAAAATGTTAACTCAATTTTTAAAAACAAACTAAACCCTAAATTTTACTAACCTAAGCTCTAAACAAGGTGCTAAACTGATAGTATTTTTTACTCTCACAAACCAAACTCTCAGAAATTCTATACAAATAATTCATTCTACATAAACTTGGTTTGACTCAATTCATTAAAAATTACGTTTCAAGACACAACTTACAATTCTTATGCAAAGAGCACCCAGAGAACAAAATCAAAGTAATTTAGATGTATACTTCTAAATGTCAGATATGTCAGAATAAGGTACAAGCAAGAAAAAAAGCTAATCTACCTACACAGCGGGGAGGAAGGGGGAGAATATGAACATATTACCCTCTGATCTTCTTCTTTAGTCCAGGGACCCTTTATCAATTCTGGATTTAAAACTTTCTGCCATCTATGCTGGCACTGAAAATCAGAACGATTCTGAAAGAATTTAGAAGATTTTGTTATTGAATAACTGTTTTCCAAAATTTATGTCTTACAACCTTAAAAACACAGTCTTCAAGAATAATATATCCAGCAGTATTCTTTAAATACGTAGTATTTCTTTTACATGCCTATGTCCCAACTCTTTTTTAAAATTCAGATTTATTTGTTTATTTTTAGAGAGAGGGGATGGGAGGGAGAAAGAGAGGGAGAGAAACAGCAATGTGTGAAACAAACATTGATTGGTTGCCTCTCACATGCCCCCAACTGGGGACCTGGCTCGCCACACCAGTCACCAGGCCGAATTCTTTTTTAATTAAAGTAGTGGCACAACTTAAGACTACAAATAAAACAATATGTACTTGAAATTGAAGTATTTGTCTCTACACTATGCCTTATAAAACAGCAAGTGGCAAAGCTATAATACAAAAACTAGCCATAAAAAAATGTATATAAGGTTGAGAAATAAAGGAAATAAACAGAAAACTATACAAAGCAAATGAAAGAACTCATATAACTCAGCAATACATAACTCTATACAATTAAAAAAACTCCTAAAGACACTGCTAGACTTCTGAATGGTACTTAAAGATTGTTTATAAGTGATGACCCTCCCAAGTTATCAAGAAAAAAATAAACATATATACATAAGAGATGTGCCTTATGTATCAGTTAAATTATTTAATTGTTGAAGCTTAAAAGAAAAATGAAAAAGCTTATATAAAAACATCTCAAACTCCAAAAATGATTAATAATAAATGAAGCCTTATTTTAGTTAATTCATGACCCAGTAACTCCTATGTTTTATGATGACAATAATAACAATAGCATGTTTTCATTAGCAATTCACAGTTTACAAAAATGTTCGTTAATATATGAGGTCTGTCCAGAATGTATCCTACCATGTAATATGAAAAATAGAGACATTTATTGAAGAAGATACAAGGAACATTGTACATAAAACAATGATGCCTCAGTCCCCTTCAAAGTGAGCATTTTGGGTCCTCACTGAATCTCGTTGATGGTCTGAAACTCCTCCATTTGAAAGGTGATTTTTGTTTTGGAAAGAGCCAGAAGTCACAGGGTGGCAAATCTGGGCTGTTGGCAGGCTGAGTCACCTGAGTGATATGATGTTTCACCAAAAAAACTGCACAAGACATGATGTACAAACGGGCACTTGTCATGATGAAGCTGCCCATAGCTGCAGCTGTTTTTGTCATATTACATGTCTCAACTGATGGAGAACATTGAGGTAGTACTCCTTATTGTTTGGCCTGAATGGGTGTGCTCATGACGGACAACACATTCCCAATCAAAAAAACACACTGAACATGGTCTTGATCTTTGATGCAGATTCAATACTCTGCTCACTCAGTCATTTTGAATGCGACAGACACAAAGTACACATGCTCACTCAATTGTGTCTATCACTTCCACTGACTACTACAGTAAAGTTGTCATTGTTCATGCATGCACATTCCAGTCCATTCCCCTTCGTTGGCAGGTTACATTGATGTTGCACAAAAAATTCTCGTTATATTAACAATGGCTGGACTTCTTCTGGACAGACCTCATACATGATTATAGATCATTTAGAAGTATATAAAGGGATAATAGATACAAATACTTTGTTTACTAATAGCTCTGTCTTTGTGCCTAGCGGACTTCACATTTTTATTCAAATGGAGCTTCATTTTTGGCTTCTGTACATTAATGCTGATGCATTTTAAGGCTATTGGTTTCTTCAAAATAATCAGGTTGTTCCTGTATGTTCTTGTAGCATTTCTCTGTTTATCTTATGTCCTATTATACCATTGAAGTTAAATTGATAAAATTAATGTAAATAGCTTTGTGGATTTAGCTTCCATTATTGAACATCTGCTAAATGTCTGGAACTGTGCCAAACATCTTATATTTCTAATTCTCACAAAAATACTATAAAACCAGTACTATTATTTACATATTATAGATAAGAAAGCCAAAGATCAAAGAAGTTAAAATTTTTCTAAGCAAAAAAAAAAATTTTTTTTTCTAAGCTAGTAAAGCTGACATTTGAACACAATTCAGACTGACTAAAAAACTTTTCCTTCCATCATTTGGTTTCAATTTTAAGGTTATACTAAAAGTCATCATAACAATATGAAAAGAACATATGTAACATGGTTCCTGAAATCCAAAGGGAGCAAATAAAAGTCATATATATGAAAATACTTTGTAAATTATAAAACTACATGCTAATAAAAATATGTAAATAGTAATACGGTGAACAGTAAGTTTTCATTTAAAAAATCAGTTAACACCTTAAAAGGTAAGCATTTTATGACAAACTTTTCCATAGAGACTTTTCTGATTTTATTAATTAGCTATCAAATATTCAAATAGTTAACTTCTCTCAAAATGTTTTAATATTTATCAGCAATTATTTCTAAAGCCCTAACCAAACTTAGTATCATTTTTGTTTTAGATATCTTTTTAGACCCTGTAGATAAACTAATTACTAGAAAATCAGATTTTCTAAGCCATTGGCAACTACAGTAGGACCAGAATAAGAGGTTTTTAGGAAGGAAACATAAATCTAAAACAATATAGACACATTTTTAAAAAACAGCAAATTTAACCCAATTTCCTAAATCATCCAATCTATGTAGAAATATAATGCTTCACTTACCTGAAGATGACTGGCAATTAGAGTCCAATCATCAGTTCCATGTTGTTCAACCAACTTCTTTAACTTATCATCCTATTAAAATAGGTATGAATATTAGAAAGCTTTCCCGCACCCTATTTCTCTATCCCTGAATATAAATAATCCTCTAATTCTTTCATGTCATATCTGGTGGCCATTTTTAGAGGGACTAAAGCCTCTACAAGTTCTCCCATTTACTATACTGTTCCCATCAGTCTCGATATCAATCCACTATTCATGTCTTGAGTTGAAGAGAAATAATGTATAAGTTAGATCATTTTAATGTGTAAGTTAATAGAGAACTTTCCTTGTTTTGTTTTTAAATATTTTTCACATCTATAATAGCATTAATAAAGGTATGAAATGAATAAACCTTATCAGATAATCACCTCATCTCTTGTCCATTTTACTCTGTTCCAGAGTTTCTTCAATCCTTTCTGTTGTGGTACTTCATAATCATGATCAGCATACTGAAGGTCATCATCCTCATCCTCACTAAAAAAAGCACAATTGTTAAATAAAGAATTTTATTCAGATTTGTAAATTTAATCATTGAACAGGTATGACTGAAGAAACCACTCAGACTAAGAGGCATATATTATATAAAATAAGGAGCTATAGTTATTGACGCCAGAGATAAAGGTGGATATACTACCAGGGTCCAGGTGACAACCTTTATGTCATGCTAAGGAGCTTGACCTTTATTCTTTATTCGACATTTATCCTAAAGAGTTAATGGACTTTAAGGAGTGAAAGATAAATATCTTGTGTTTCAGATATCACTGGCAGGAGTGTGGGGAAATAAAGGAAGACCAATTAGTAATCTTTTACAATAACCCAAGTAATAAATTATTAAGGCCTGACAACAGTAATGATAAAATACAAAACACAGCCAGTTAAAAGACACAATGGAAGAAATGATCCATTAATAATATCAACAACAAAAGCTAAAATATGTAGAAATAACTTATGTATAAGATCAAAGTACAATAAAAACAAATTACTATCTTGAGACACAAAAGACATGAATAAATGGAAAAACATCCAGACCATATTCTTGGTTAGGAAAAACAGCATTCTAGATGCCCGTTCCCCCTAAATTAATATCAAAATACACTGTAGAGAAACAACAAATAAAACAGAATGGCAGTGGGACATGTACAGATATACAATACACATCAATAAAACAGAGTAGAACATTCAGGAAAAAATATATATTTGTGAATTTGGTAAATTTTAACAGTAACATATCAAATCAGTAAAGTAAAGATGGGCTTTTCAATAAATGGTAAGACACTGCATAGCTATTTTTAAAAAAATAAAGATCCAGTCCTACTTCAAAATTTAAAAAATCAGATGAAGCAAATATTTTACATTTTTTTAAAATAAAATCATAATAGTACTATAATAGGGTAGAATTCTATTTTTTTATATTGAGTACAAGAGATCTAAATGTGAAAAAATCAAATCATTAAAGAACAAACTGACTAAAGTAATGAAAATGGCAATGGTAAGAGGCACATGAAACAGTTATTAAACAAGTAGAAATAAAAAGATTTTACAACCAATGAATATGAGAAACATGGGAAAAGGAGGAACCAAGGATGACTCCAAAATTTCTGGCTTTGGGAGCATAAATAGAGCAATTCACTGAGTAAAAGAATAGAAGAGAAACTGAACTTTGGGAGGGAGAAGGGAATGGGGAGAGTAAGCAATTCTGTACTGGCTAATTTCAAAAAACTTAAGACCTATATGAGAGCCCTGGCTGGTGTGGCTCAGTGGACTGAGCACCGGCTCGCAAACTGAAAGGTCACAGGTTGGATTCCCAGTCAAGGGACATGCGTGGGCTGCAGGCCAGGCCCCAGTTGGGGGTGTGTGTGAGGTAACCAATCAATGCTTCTCCTGCACATCAATGTTTCTCTCCTTCTCTTTCACCCTCCTTTCTCCCCTCTCTAAAAATAAATACAATCTTTAAAAAAGAACCATATGAGAAATATACATGTAGATATATATAGAACATACCATAAAAAGAAATATAATGCAAGCCACATATGTAATTTCCTAAAAGCCACATTTTTAAAAAAACAAACAGGTGAAATTAATTTTAATAATAAACATTATTTAACTCAATATATATAGAAATTATCATTTCAATATTTAATCAACATAATCATAAAATGTTTTACATTCCTTTTTTTCTTACTAAAGTCTTCAAAATTTGTTGTGTATTTTACAGTTTCAGTGCATCACTATTTGGATGAGCCACATTACAAGAGTTCAATAGCCATTCTTGCTCTGCAGACCAGATGTAAAAGGCAACTGGGTACATGGATCTTCTGCTCAGGAAAGAAGTCTAGGGTAGACATACAGTTTTGGGAATCACCAGAATACAGAGAACAATTAAAACCATGAGAGCAAGAAGCCCCAGAAAAAGAGGGTAGGTCTTTATAATAAGCTGAATTAGGGAATTTTGAGTAGCCAGGAGGCTAAAGTCATCAGCATCTGAAAATAATATAAGCTAATATTTATTTAAACTTTCTTTTCTAAAAATTTTTAAAATTTATTTTTACAGAGAGAGGAAGGGAGGGAGAAAGAGGGAGAGAAACATCAATGTGTGGTTGCTTCTCGCATGCCCCCTACTGGGGACCTGGCCTGCAACTCAGGCATGTGCCCTGACTGGGAATTGAACTGGCGACCCTTTGCTTCACAGTCCAGCACTCAATCCCCTGAGCCACACCAGCCAGGGCCTATTTAAACTTTCTAAGTCTATAAAATTCTTTCCTATAACCCCACAACAACTTCAAAAAGGGGGTTATTATTATTGTGCCCATTTTACAGAACAGAAAACTTAGGGCTTCCTGTCAAGATGGTGACACAGGCAGACATAGCTTTCTCTTCACACAACCACATCAAAATTACAAGTAAAATATAGAACCACCATCACTCAGAACCATCAGAAATCGAGCTGAATGGAAGTCTGACAACTACGGAATTGACGATACCACATCCTTCCAGGCTGGTAAGGAGAGGTGCAGATGCAGAACGGGCTGGTCCCTCACCCACATGTGGTGGATAAAAATTTCAGAGAGCTATCTCAGGAGCAATAAGCCCCAGCCCCACACCAGGCTCCACAGCCCAGGGTTCCAGTGTCAGGAAATTCTGGCCAATGAACAGAGGCTGTTGTCCATTTTCTAAACCCTCCCCACACAGAGCCAGCAAGCTGGTACCATATCTGAGATTCTATCAACCTGACTAACACTGTTTGACCCACCTTGGAGGTCCCCAGAGACTCTGCCCCACCCAACTTATAGGCCCACCCAAGCTGCTTTTCCATAGGAATGGCTGGTCTTAGCTTACACTTCACAACTTCTTAAATCCTATCAAACAAGCAACAGCTGGCCTCAGTGAACTCCACGCCCAGAACTAACGGCAGCCAGCCTAGATTCACAGGTTGGCTTCACCTGGGAATCTCCAAGCCCAGTACAAGTGACAGCCATCTCAGATTGCTGTATAATACAGGCAGGGTGGCCCCAGGCAACACACAGGTCAGGGCTGACCATGGCCTGGACCACTTGGGAAACCCCAAGGCCAGTGCACCGAGTAGACAGCTACAGACCACATCAGAGCACCACCACCCTGCCCCTGCACAGCTGATCCTCCACACAGAGCAGAGGTTGGTGGTCAGTGGTCACAGCCAGTCCTTGCAATTGATTGGCCTGGGTAAATCCCTCCCATTGATCTGCCAACAGCAACCAAGGCTCAACTACAAGAGGAGGGTGTACTCAGCCCACACAAAGGGCGCACTTCAAGTTCCCAGCTTGGGCGAGAGGGGAGGCTGTGCCACTGGACCCTACAGGACACCTACTACAGTAGGCCACACTACCAAGACATGGAGTCAAAGAAGCTCTACCTAGTAGAGAAACAAACACAGGGAGGCTGCCAAAATGAGGAGACAAAGAAACATGGGCCAAATGAAAGAACAGATCAAAACTCCAGAAAAAGAGATAAATGAAATGGAGATAGGCAATCTATCGGATGCAGAGTTAAAACACTGGTCTTAAGGACACTCAAGGAACTTAGTGAGGATCTCAACAGCAGAAAAAAGATCCAGTAAGAAATGAGGGACTCACTAATTAAAATAATGAACAATTTACAGAGAAACAACAGTAGGGTGAATGAAGCCGAGAATCAAATCAAAGATTAGGAACATAAGGAACCAAAAAACAATTCAGAACAAGAAGAAGAAAGAATTAAAAAAAAAATGAGGATACTGTAAGCTGCCCTTGGGATAACTTCAAGATGTCCAACATTTGCATCATAGGGGTGCCAGCAAAAGAAGAGAAAGAGCAAAAATTTGGAAATCTACTTGCAAAAATAATGAAAGAAAACTCCCCTAATTTGGCAAAGGAAATAGACATGCAAGTCCAGAAAGTGCAGAGAGTCCCAAACAAGGTGGATGCAAAGAGGCCCACTCTAAGTCACATCATAGTTGAAATGCCAAAGGTTAAAGGTAAAGGGAGAATCTTAAAAGCAGCAAAAGAAGTTAGTAACCAGCAGGGGAGTTCCCAAAAGACTGTCAGCTGATTTCTCAAAAGAAACTTCACAGGCTAGAAGGGATTGGCAAGAAATATTCAAAGTCATGAAAAGCAGGGACCTACAGCCAAGATTGCTCTGCCCAGCAAAGATATCATTTAGAATCAAAGAGCAGCTAAAGAGCTTCCCAGACCAAAACAAAAAACAACAACAACAAAAAAACCCTAAAGGAGTTCATCACCACCAAACCATTATTACATGAAACATTAAAGGGACTTATTTAAAAGAAGAATATCAAAACTATGAACAATAAAATGGCAAAAAATACCTAACAACTACCAAAAATTGAATCTAAAAAGCTAAGCAAACAAGAGGACCAGAGACAGAATCATGGATACTGAGAACGTTTTGATGATTGCCAGATGGGAGTGGGGTTGGGGAGAGTGAGTGAAGAGGTGAGGGGATTAAGAAGTACAAATAGGTAGTTACAGAATAGTCATGGGGATGTGAAGTAAAGTATAGGAAATGGAGTAGCTAAAGAACTGACACACATGACCCATGGACACGAACAATGGTGAGGGGACTGCCTGAGGGAGTGGGGGGTGCTGGGTAGAGAGGGGCAAAGAAGGAAAAGTCAGGACAACTGTAATAGCATAATCAATAAAATATAATTTTAAAAACTAAAAAGCAAAAAAATAAAAAAAAAACTGGGAAGAGTATAACTTCTTGCCCACAGTTACACCAAATATAGCATGGCTGAGCTCCAAAACTTACTACCTAACCACAAAATATACCATATTGGGAAAAATAGGTAAAGAGATACAAAAAGCTGGAACATCCCAAAGATGAGAACCTCAAGTACATTTTGAAATCAGAGCAAAGTTCGAGTTCTAACTTACCCACCCTTGGTGTCCATAAACGTATTAGCCTCTCAGGGCTTTAGTTTACCTGTTTGTAAAATG